AGGACCCATTGGAAATGGTAAAAACCAAAAAAGCAACCAAACCCCCCAAGACCCATCAGAAATGGGGGGAGCCAGAAAACAAACACCCCCAAGACCTATCTAAAAGGGAGAACCCCCCAAAAGCAACCAACCCCCCCAAGACTCATCGGAAACGGGGAAAACAAAAAAAAACCAAACAAACAACCCCCCAAGACCCATCAGAAATGGGGAAGAACACTCCGAAAAGCAACAAAAAAACCCCAAGACTCATCGGAAATGGGGGAAAGAAAAAACCAAAAAACAAACCCCCTAAGACCCATCACAGCACAGAAACATAACCCCCACAGCTCAAAACCATGCTGCAAAAACTCCCAGAGCAGTTTTTAAAAAGCAGAAAACAGCACCTTACCTTACCAGGCAGCCCAAAGCCTCCCTGCAATCTCTCTCTCTCTCTCTCTCTCTCTCTGAAGCAGAAGGAGGCACTCCCAAGCCTCCTCCGACACACACTCTCTAACTGCTGGGGCAAAAGAGCTACAAAGAAGCAGCCTCGTCGCCACCTACAGTTAGCAATTTCAATTTCCCGCATTTTTCCCTGCCTTTTTCTGTTCCTAAGTGGAAGCTCCAGTCACAAGTCAAAGTAAAATTTTGCGGCTAGAGCTGGTCATAACTCAAAATGGTCGTAAGTAGAGACGTTCGCAAGTCAAGGCACCACTGTATAAGAAGGAAATACTGGGGGCCATAAAGTTTTTCTTGTTCAGTGATATCATGCTGAATGCTTACTTATTCTATCAGTCTAAACCAGTGGTTCTTAACCTTTGTTACTCAGATGTTTTTGAACTGCAACTCCCAGAAACCCCAGTCAGCACAGTTGGTGGTGAAGGCTTCTGGGAGTTGTAGTCCAAAATTCCTGAGTAACCCAAGGTTAAGAACCAGTGATCTAAACTATATTCATTCACACCCTTCAAAGAACTTCTGTCATATCCACTTTTGTACAGTATAACCCTCTCTATTCTCATGAGTGAGTCCTGCCTGTCTAAGATACAGTGGCTGAAATCCAGTAGTAACTTGCAACAAAGATAGGCCCATTGAATCAGCGGAACTTACAGAGCAGTTGATTCACCACATTCCCACTGATTTAATGGGTCTATTCTGGTTGTTACTAATTACTGGTTTATAGCCAATGACGAAGTTTTAAGTCTAGAAAACGCGGGATTTAAGAAAGTACTATTTCAAAAGATTGAACTTTTTCATGGTTAAGCTTATTCACTCCTGTTGCTTTTTGCTTGTTGGAATACTCTGTGATTCTCAAAGGCTTGTTTTAAGTCTAGTTTGTATGAAACCTACCTTTCAAATTGGGGATAATTGAAAAATACAGAGAAACAGAATATTTTGAATATTCATCAGATGAATCTTGGCCTGCTTTTAAGGATGTTCATATTTCATATAATTTATGCTAGTTGTCTCAAGTGGAACAAATGTGGCTTACAAGCATTTAATAAAATAAATAAATGCATTAGTGTTTTTGCTGTAATCTGCCTTACTAAAACTCCCTCAAGAGTTGTTCAGTTGTATGACCCCAATGAGCTCTCAGTGGCTTCAGTTCTTAAGCTTTGAAGAAATAATTTATTCTGTATTTGTGTTGGGAAGACTGTAGAGCAAATCTCAGGCAGTGAAGCAAAAAGATGCAAGTAGATTTCCTAGTACAATCATATAATTGTCTTTAGAACCTAAGGTGAGATTTTTGCCGTTACTTTACATGTTTTAACTTCTTCCCAAGAGTCATCTTTCAGTTCATTAACTTAGATGCTGTACAGATCATTAGCTACTTATGAGATGAATACAAAATGAGGCTGTCAAGCTGATTTTTAAAAATACATTAATGAATAAATTTGTGGCAATTTAGAAGGTACTGGGTATCTTTTTTTTTGACAGCTGAAATTCCATAGATACGTCCTTCTTCTTCTTTTGTATCCTACATCTTTGAGAAATGCTCTTCACCTCAGTATGTGTTCTGAGAAGGTCTTGTATGTTATGAAAGATTCTGAGAAGTGTTTTATACACTTCAGGGGAACACTGGGAATAGTGGAGAGTTTTCATTTGGAGAAAATTGTTAAATAAAGCTGTGTCTCTAACAGCTAATGTCTTGCCTTTGTAATTTTTTTGATTCATAGAAGTAGGGTAGATTTTTTAAAAATCAATGTTTTTTAAATAAATCAAATTGATTTAAATAATGATTTAAATACAAATGATTTTTTGATTTAAATAACCAAAAGTTTGATTTTTTAAAAAAATAAATAAATCCCAATTTAAATTCATTTCATTTAAATCAAATCTTCTCTGCATACAAGTGAAATTAAATGAATTAAATTTAATTCTCTTTATATCCCTTTTTTACTGTTTTTCTTGCTTGTGGTAGAGTGAGGTTTATTGGAAAAAACATAATTGGATGTTCTATGTTTCTCCTCAGCTGTCTTAATTCTCTCTGCTGTCCTACATTGCCAGCATTTTAAAAAGAACAAGTTTTTTTTTGTTTTCTTTAAAAAAAGATTCCTATGGGTAGTTTTTTCTGGAAGCTTTCTATACTGGGTAAGAATTAAAGCTACATTTGCCTGATGCAAACATGTTTGGACACTTAATGGGCAGCACTTTTATTTTCAAAGTTCTTTGCAGTCTGTTTCACAAGTGGTTAGTGATAGTCTGCATGCTTGTTATAAAGATCATAGACAGTGTCCCTCAAAAGTTCAACCTGAACTCCACTATGAATTTACCTAACACATATATCGCCTTTGAAATACTTTTCTCTTTTCTAGCTCTGCTGCCAGCTGCTGGGCTCGAGGTAACCTGCTTAGCTAACCTTCCACTCTATCCTTATGTTGCTAAATGCT